ATTCCCCAGGAGGAACGGGTTCATTGCTACCTCTGTGCAGCCTGAGCTGGGCTCTGAGCAGGTCCTCCCATATTAGCTCACCATCAGGAACCAGGCCAAGGCAGGATCAGAGGGACACCAGAGAGGCAGGTGAGCAGTGAGCACAGGAGCACTTGCTTAGGGCCGCCTCTCCAGAATATTCCCTTTTATAAGAGCTTAAAACTTAGTTGTGGCTTTATAATCCATTGAGAGCAATACATGCCCTGATAGGAAATCTGGCCATCTGTCAGCCAGTAAAAGTTAGCTTTATAATGTTACCTATTAGATTTTTTTAATTACTTCTCTTGGTTCTGCCATGTGAGCGTAGAGGCCCCGTGGCATCCTTGAAGAAAGGGAAGTAGACAGGGATCCAGATCCTGGCACCTGGATTTAGTGGCTGCGTGTCATAGCAGCCTTGTCCATGAAATGGGATCAGACAAGAACAGAGATGTCATCATTAGCATAATTTTTTTGAGACAGAGTATCACTTTGTTGCCGGAGTGCAATGGTGTGATCTCAGCTTACTGCATCCTCTACCCGCTGGGTGGAAGTTCAAGTGATTCTCCTGCCTCAGCCTCCCAGTAGCTGGGATTACAGGCATGCACCACCACTCCGGGCTATTTTTTGTATTTTTAGTAGAGACCAGGTTTTGCCATGTTGGCCAGGCTGGTCTGGAACTCTGACCTCAAGTGGTTCAACTGCCTTGGCCTCCCAAAGTGCTAGGATTACAGATGTGAGCCCCCACTCTCAGCCTTATTAGTATAATTTTCACGGCACTTTATTTCCTTGCTCTCACCCAGTTCCATTTAATGATTCAACTAATTGAACTTCATCAGAGACACACTGTGGGCTCTGCTCCTCCCTTTCCAGACAGGCAGTGCTGCTGGCATTGCCCAGTAGCCACTATCCTCTTCTCACCACACCACTGTCCCCAGCAGCCAGTGCTCTCCCTAGAACTTAGAGCTAATCTCATCTTCCTCTTGTGGTCTTTCCCAGTTCTCCTCCTTAGATGACTGTGAGAATTCTCACCTTTCGCTTAGCACAAAGCTCTTTCATGGTTGGACCTGTGTTCTCTCCAACGTCACTGCTACCTCCAGCTTTGCGGTGTCTGTGGGGCCCAGGAGGGGATGGGCCACAGAGAGCACAAATTCAGGAACTATGTGTCTTACCCGCCTAATGGGGGCAGTTCAACATCCCTCTCCTTTGTACATCCTCTGTGCTGCCCAGAATTCTCACCCACTCTCCTGATCCTGCCACCCCCCAACTTAGCCAATTCCTACACTTTGTTCCAAAGGTATAATCAAGCATCAGCTTTTCCCGGGAGCTTTCCCTCCCCACAGCCAAATTTAGATGCCCCTCTCCGGTCCTCCATCATGCTGGGCCTCACCTCTGCCACCTCTGGTGCAGGTGGATAAGACACATAGTTCCTGAATTGGTGCTCTCTGTGGCCCATCCCCTCCTGGGCCCCACAGACACCACAGAAGCAAAGCTGAGTCCCTGCCTTGGTGGACGTACATGCTGGTGGCAAGACAGGAATGAGTGCCTGTAATAGTCCATGAAGCAGATTCAGCCAGTAGACACGCAATGGGGTAGATGACCTTTAAACAGTCCACATGAAAAGACCACCACCTGAGCAGCCCATCTTCAGCACTCTGAATGTGGAGAGTGGCTGCTGTTCCCTGTGCTGTCTCTTTGGTAACTGCAGTTGCAGCTCCTGACCAGCCTCCACCTTTACTCAATAAGAACTTTTTTTTTTCTTTTTCTTTTATTAAGAGGAAGTCTCGATCTGTCGCCCAAGCTGGAGTGCAGTGGCACAGTCTCGACTTACTGCAACCTCTGCCTCCTGGGTTCAAGCAATTCTTGTGCCTCAGCCTCCTGAGTAGCTGGGATTACAGGCGCCCACCACCACACCCAGCTAATTTTTGTACTTTTAGTAGAAACGGGGTTTCACTGTGTTGGTCAGGCTGGTCTCAAACTCCTGACCTCAGGTGATCTGCCAGCCTCAACCATCCAAAGTGCTGGGATTATAGGTGTGAGCCACTGCACCTGGCCAAGAACTTCCTTTTTCTTTACAAACACAGAATAAAGATGAAACCCAGATAGTAAGTCTATCAAAAGGGTCTATGATATCCTTTCTTGAAAGGGATTTTATATTGAACCTAAAGTGAGGAGAAACATTTTAAAGGTTAAATCCTCTATCCAAACATTTTACTTTAAGAGTTTCTTCTAAACATTTGAGCATTTTACTTTTCTTTCTTCGATTTAACTCTAAATCTGTATCTTTGGCTTCATAAAGCTCCTTCCTGGTCTTTAGGAGCTGGAAACTCAACAGAACCAGCCATCGCCTTGTTTGAGTGGGAGGGAGGTGGCAAGGCCTCCGTGAGGCAGGAAGCCAGTGCATATCCCCCTGCACATTGCACGTGGGCCCAGAAAGGCCTTCCTGTCGGGGCTCTGAGGAATGCAAAGGCACTGAGCTGGGAGTCAGAAAACTTGTGTTCCAGACCTAGCTCTGCCCCTGCCTGGTCTTGTTCCCTTGGGCAAGTCCTTAAATGTCTGAGCTCCCGTCTTCCTGTGAGGTAAGGAGCTGGGTGGTGGGGGGCGGGCAGCATAGCAGAGGTTGCAGGTGCCTTACTGGGTGGCCACCCACTGTGTGGCCTGGGCATGGGAGGAGCTCCTCTCTGCCTGCTTTCCCCACTCTGCTCATTTGTTCTACAATATTTATGGGACATCCGCTGTATGCCAGGGTCATGCTGGGGGTACAGCAGGGAGTAAAACCATCTTAGCAGCTGTGTAGAGCCTCTCTTCTAATGGGGAGGATCAGCTAACAGGTGATCAGTCAGGTGATAATGAGTCCTATGGTGATAACAGAGACAAAGGGCAGGGGTAGAGAAGACTGTGGTCAGGAGATGATAGTGCCTGCACTGCATGTAAAGTGCTCCTGGGGAGCGCTCAGTAAATGTTGTCATTTAAAATCTCTTCCCACTTTAAACCCTGTCTGAGAGTGAAAGGCAGGTGCCCTCCCTGGGGTAACTGGTCACTCAGCCACATGTGGTATACAGTTAGGTGTGTTCACTGCAGCTAGTGAGAAGCCTCCATGTGTGGGCACTGGCATGGCTGCTGTTACATGGTGGGTCTGTCCCAGCTGTGCAGGGGTGCAGCTGTCCCTTGAGGAAGGGATCACACATGCTGATGGTGCAGTGCCTGTATTCACTCTATAGCCAACACAGCGGCAGCAGCTTGCCACAGGTAATGACCAGTCTTCCAAGAAAAGGCAACGTGCTCTAACTCAGAAATACCAGTCAGGCCGGGTGCATTGGCTCACGCCTGTAATCCCAACACTTTGGGAGGCTGAGGCGGGCAGATCACGAGGTCAGGAGTTTGAGGCCAGCCTGGCCAACATGGTGAAACCCTGTCTCAAAAGCAAAAGAAATACCAATCAGGCACCGCGGAGCTGCAGTCCTGCCACAGTTTGGGGATACTGGAGACTTTCCCTCCTTGTAGGGATTAGGGTGTCCCAGGTGCCTCAATCCCAAGGCTGCATGCAGTCTTTGCTGCAGCCCATCTCCCCAGGTGACAGACAGCTGCTGTCCTTACTGGCTGTGAGGCCTGCTACAGTGCCCAGGAGGGCCTTTCCATGCCTGTGGTGTTCCTGGCTTGCTCGGCAGGCAGGCAGAGGCTGCATCTTCCCAGGCAGTGCCGTAGTCAGTTGTCCTCTTGCTCTGTTGTTTCCATTATGCTGAGTGGGTGACGTGGATGCTGGGTGCCCCTGGCATCCGCCTTCACATACTGCGCCTGCCGTCTCCAGTGCCCCCCAGGGCCTGAAACTCAGCCAGCTGCTATGCGAAAGCCACAGTCCATCCCTCCCATGCTGCCTCTGGTTAACCTGGACAGAACCTTGGCACTGACCTTGACCGTTACAGGCCTCCCAGCATTGTGCTTCACCCAGCCCAGACGGCCAGTGTCCCTGCACTCCTGACACCCCCACCCCACCTGCATAAAGACATTCAGTAGTTCTCCACCCTATGCCAAAAGTCCAAACTCTTCTAAAGTGATGAGATGTGGTGAGAACAGCACTGGCTTTGGGGCCTGGCGAACCTGTATTGGGATCCCAGCCCCTGTACTCATTGGGCCTGTGACCATGACCCTGAACTTCTTTCAGCCTAGTCTTTAACTGTAAAGTGGAGGCAATGCTACTACTTTGAAGGGGAGTTTGGCAGTATTGACACTTATGCAACACCTAGCACAGCTCCTGCCACATGGTGGAAACACTTAAAAGACACCAGCCTTCCCCCTTTTCCTTCATAGTGCCTGACACATGGTAGGGCTTAGAGGAAAAGCTATTGAATAGAGTAGTCCATAGATGTACTATAAGAAGCCACTTGGCCAGGCGCAGTGGCTCATGCCTGTAATCCCAGCACTTTGGGAGGCTGAGGCCAGCAGATTGCTAGGTCAGGAGTTTGAGACCAGCCTGACCAACATGGTGAAACCCCGTCTCTACTAAAAATACAAAAATTAGCCCAGCATTGTGGTAGGCACCTGTAATCCCAGCTACTCAGGAGGCAGAGGCAGGAGAATCACTTGAACCCAGGAGGCAGAGGTTACAGTGAGCTGAGATCATGCCATTGCACTCCGGCCTGGCAACAGAGCGAGACTCCATCTCAAAAATTAAAAAAAGAAGCCACTCTGAGTTCTGCCAAACCCCCGCATCCCTCTGTTTGCTTCAGTCTAGTTCACCCTGATAGCAGAATGGCTGCCACAGATCCAAGCCTCAAAGCTATATCCCTCACCATCCTGAAGAGAGAATTGGGTTGCTTGAATCAGCCACTGTGGCCTTAGACCATTGCTAGGGATAGGGTCATTTCCTCCCAAACAGCAGTGGGAGCAGCGGCCAGAGGTGAGGAGGACCAGTTGCACTGTGACAAGCCTTCCTCCTTCTCAGGCAATGGGTTTCTATCCGTACTCATCCAAAAACAAGCAGATAGTCTCCCACAACACAGTCTGTCTCAGCGGAGAAGCTCCTGGGGGCTCCCAGACTTGAGTTCCACAGCCCACTGAACTGTTGACTCTGGCAGAATTTAAATTTTTCGTGCTATAAGTGAGTCTCTGAATCTGATTGTGTTCTTGCTTTGTTTGTATGTCTGCTTCACGTTGGTGTCATACTAGTTTCTGCCTTTCCCAGTCAGCTCCACCGGTAAGCGTGTCTCTACTCTGCGTGACACAGGTATCTTTGCCTTCCGATAACTTCCTGGCACCTCCCTAGTGTTTATGTGTTGACCGCAATGTGGCCCCAAGTCCAGCTGGTGCCACCACTCTTTGGCATCTAATTTTAACAACTGTGACTTTGCCCTCAGTGAAATTTGATTCTGATTTTCTTTGCAGGATGAGCCCAGGTTTCTACAAAAATGTGGTGAAGATTCAGAAGCATGTTACCTTCAACCAAGTGAAAGGCATTTTCGGCTTCACTGACAGTGACTCCATTGGTAAGGGGCCTACTGCTGCCTGTGGCCCACTCCCCATGCCCTTCAAAAAGGAGCAGAGTTGCTCTGAAATGTTAGCATTTGCAACTGTCTCTTTAAGTAGGACACCCAGGCATGGGTGGGTTGTCGTTGCCCTGGAACCTGATGAGCTAGTGTAAAGCATTGAGCAGCTTCTAAGGATGACTTTGGATTTCCAACAGCTCTGGTAGGACCCTAGTCAGTGTAGGGCGGCCTTGGGTGGAGCCCAGGGGTGATGGAGGACAGCTGGGTCTGCTGCCCATGAAGGAATCTTTGTCTCCCTGGGCCTCAGTTCCCCCACATGTAAGATGAGGGTCTTGACTCGAGGTCTTCTGGAATCTTCCCACACCCACCCTGCTCTCCTTCCATGGCTCCACCCCAGCAGATATGCACATGGCTTGCCTCCTGTGTGCATGCTTTCATGGCCATAAATTTCCATGTGTCTTTCAGATGCATTGGCCTTGTCAACTTTTAGACTTTTGGTCCTTGAGACTTGTGGCTGGGCCTTCTGATCTCCTCATCTGCTTGATTTTTGGCTCATGGCCCCAGGCCTAGCAGGCCTTTGAGGACTTCAATCATACCTGCCAGCCGAGACAGCTCCCTGGGATGTGCTCCCGGGGCCCTCCTTGGGGAGCGTTTGCCCTGCTTGGAGCCAGAGCCACAGCGGCATGTGCTCCACAGCAGCAGGGTCACGCTGGGCCAGCCGCATGCCCAGGGCCCAGAAACACTTGAGCTCACCCAAGGCCTGGGTGCTGCCACTCAGTGGGGACTGGCATGGTACCACCTGTCAGGGGCCATGGAGAAGTTGAAAGTTCCACTTCTGCAGGTCTAACCAAATACTAATGACAGTACTAACGGCAGCCACATCCAAAACATAAACAACTGTTTTAAACACCAAAATACATTCATCATAACTTATGATAATTAGAGATGCAACAACCTGAATGCCCAATGGTTAAAGAATGGTTAAATTATATGATACATCGACAGGATAGAATATGCTCAGTAACCACATGGATAGTCATTACAGTGAAAAAGGCAAGGAAAAACCGGATACAGTGTGATCACAACAAAAATGCTTAAAGAAAATGGATGAACCGAGACACAATCCAGCTATACAGTTTGTTCTTCTTTCTACTTTTCCATATTTTTTAGATTTTCTTTAATGATTATTTTATAATGGGGAGAAAACCTGTTTTTGTTCATCTGTTTTTAACTAAGCAGAACAGGAACTCATCTCAGGTGTAAAAATATTTTTGCTCACTTTCAGGGAAGATCAGTTTTCCTGCCATCCAGGCCGCTCCCTCCTTCAGCAACTCATTCCCACAGATCTTCGGAGACAGGACAGATATCCAGTGCCTTATCCCATGTGCCATTGACCAGGTCAGCAGGCAGAACCAAGGCTCTCTAAGTCTGGGGCATTGGCAGCAGGTTCCTCTTAAACTCTTCAGCAGAGAAAGGAGGTGTTGAAAGATATGAAGGGCAGCTGGGCAGAGTGGCTCATGTCTGTAATCCCAGTACTTTGGGAGGCCAAGGCAGGTGGATCACTTGAGGCCAGGAGTTCAAGACCAGCCTGGCCAACATGGCAAAACCCCGTCTCTACTAAAAATACAAAAATTAACTGTTCGTGTTGGTGCACAACTGTAATCCCAGCTACTAACCTCGCTTGAACCAAGGAGACAGGTTGCAGCAAGAGCCTGGGTGACAGAGCAAGACTCTGTCTCAAAAAAAAAGGGAAAGAAATCAGGGGGTGGGGGGCAAGGTGGGGGACAGCATTAGGACAAATACCTAATTGTACAGGCTTAAAACCTAGATGATGGGTTGATGAGTGCAGCAAACCACCATGGCACAGGTATACCTAGGTAATAAACCTGCATGTTCTACATATGTATCCCAGAACTTAAAGTAAAATTAAAAAAAAAAAGGAAAGAAAGAAATGAAGGGAGGTGGGAGTGAGTTTCTTTAGTTGGAAGCATGAGAGCCTTCTGTGCGGATGCTCACGGGGACTGCCCATGGCTGAAAGCTGGCATGGGTTCCAGCTACCCTCATCAGGGTCCTTACTCTCCCCACAGGATCCTTACTTTAGAATGACAAGGGACGTCGCCCCCAAGATCGGCTATCCTAAACCAGCCCTGCTGCACTCGACCTTCTTCCCCGCCCTGCAGGGCGCCCAGACCAAAATGAGTGCCAGCGACCCCAACTCCTCCATCTTCCTCACCGACACAGCCAAGCAGATCAAAACCAAGGTGAGCAGAGGGCAGCCAGTGGGAGCAGAAACACGCCCTGGGGGCACATGCAAACACACACCACCACACAGTGCATTGAGCCCCAGCCACCTTAGCCATGCCAAATTCCAGGACTGCCAGCTGTGCTCCCTGCAGAACTCAAGACAGCCTGTCCTTCCCAGACGAAGCAGGTGAATTTGTCTTGTGTCCTTTAATTTAGGGTACCATTTTGAATTTTTTTTCTTTTTTTCCTTTTCTGCTTTTTTACCAATACTGTTCTGGAAGCAAAGTCATGGCAGTTTCCTTAAAGTTATAGTTAGTGTGATGTTATTAAACAGTGGAAAAGATTTGTGTATATTTCTGATCTTCAGCTATGTTTCAGGGGCTGGGCCAGGTGCCTTATTTATGTTTTCTCATGTTTCATTCTCACTGGGAGATGGTGGTGCTGTTCTCTTTAAAGATGAGATGATGAGGCTTAGAGAAGCTCAGCCACTTGACCAAGTTTCCCCCACTGGGAATCAGTGGCACTGCTCTCCTGGCCTTAAGCACCCATTACCAAGTGGGGGTTAGGAGCTGGTTTTGTCCCGGAGAGTGTTCTCAACGAGAGACACAGAATTGAGAAACGTCCTTCCACGGGACAATCCTGCTGGCCCCGGGAGGGATGCACACAGCAGGCACTCAGCAAACGTTTGACAGATCACTAGAGAAACTAAAAGGAGAAGTTACTCTGAGCTTCCTTATTTTGCAGGGCCTCAGTTCTGTTGCCTGGTTCCTCAACTGCCAGTGTATATGTACTTGCCTGACTGTTATACAAAGCAGCTGACATTTTCTTTGGAACCAAGTTTGTGTTTGCAGGCTAGAAGATTGCAGTAGGAATACTGGGAACTGTATTTGAGGCATGTCACGTGCCCTCTGAGTCACTGCCCCTGACCCTTCTGGAAAGTCCCAAGCAGGTTCTGGTTGACAATGGGGAAGCCTTTCATATCAAAACTTTCTAAGACATGGCCTCCACCAACTCCACTCAGTTGGAAGCTGGTATAATCGGGCCTTTTCTTTCCCTTTCACTTCTGGCCGGAACTTCCAGAGCGCAGGGTGCAGAGTGGGGAGAGAAGTGCCACTGGAAAAGTCAGCTGTTTCATTTTGCTTCTGAGAGTTGTTTTGAAAAAGTTGTTTATGGGGCTGGATGCGGTGACTCACACCTGTAATCCCAGCGCTTTGGGAGGCTGAGGCAGGTGGATCACAAGGTCAGGAGTTCAAGACCAGCCTGGCCAACATGGTGAAACCCTATCTTTAAAAAAGAAAAAGTTGCCTATAGCCAGGTGTGGTGGCTCATGCCTATAATCCCCACACTTTGGGAAGCCAAGGAAGGCAGATCATCTGAGATCAGGAGTTCAAGACCAGCCTGGCCAACATGGTGAAACCCTGTCTCTATCAAAAATACAAAAATTAGCCAGGTGTGGTGGCTGGCGCCTGTAGTTCCAACTACTCAGGAGGCTGAGACAGGAGAATTGCTTGAACCCAGGAGGCAGAGGTTGCAGTGAACCGAGATCGCACCACTGCACTCCAGCCTGGTGACAGAGCAAGACTCTAGCTCAAAAGAAAAGAAAGAGTTGTTTATGAATCTGGAGCATTTATCATTCACTTAGGGACAGCAAACCCCTAAAGATGAGCAGTTAGCATGAGGTCAGGAAACACAGAGGCCTACAGACGGTCAACAGGCCTGCAGGTGACTTGTGGGGCAAAACAGGGTCCGGCCAAGCCCTCGCTCTAAGTCCTCGTGCTTGACTTCAGCTCCAAAATCAGAATCTCCACACTAGAGAAGAGGGCATATATACTCCAGCCTCCTCCTAAAAATAACAGGTTCAGCCAGGGTAGTGCCTATAGTCCCAGCTACTCAGGATAATGGCTTGAGCCCAGGGATTCCGGCTGCAGTGAGCTACTGTTATATGCCTGTGAATAGCCATTGCACCCCAGCCTTGGTAGCACAGTGAGGCCCCATCTCTAAAATTAAAAAAATAAAAATAGCACAGTGCTGATGACTGAGGTGGCTTTGCTGAGTGAGTACCTGCCACCTGCACATAGCCAGCCTGTGTGATCTAACTGCATCCCAACTACCACCTTAGCCGGCCGTGTCCACTTGGCATCATTTCCTGTCACACAGAGTTGAACTGGTCACCCACTTCCATCATCTTAGTTGTTGACAGCAGTGCTCTGTACCCACCCCCAAGACTGCCCTCCCCCATTTTCCTGTTGGCTTCCTGTAAGTCAGGCCTGGTGGGCTGCTTCCTGCATCACTGAGGACTGGTCATGTTAAGGAGGCAGAACTGAACCAGCCACTCAGTTCTCCAGCTCCACCCAGAAGCCTGGTATCCCAGAAGCCAGCCTGGTCCTGCCAATCCCTGTCACTTATGGTAGGTTCCTGACACTCTGGGCCTGGTTTCCTTCACCCGTAAGATGGAGAAAGTACTACAGAGGTCAGAGGTCATTGGGTTGTTGGGGATAAAATAGGTGTCACAACTCTAACAGCCTCCATGGATGGCACATCTGCTGCATGCCCACCATGGGACAAGGTACTTTGCCTGGGGAGGGGAGTGTGCAGGTGGTGATGAGTGCTGAAAACCGTGCGGCAGACACCAGTTTCCTTGTTCTCCTCTCAGATAAGGGGCTGGGAACTGGCCTTTCAATACCCTCTTCAGACTGCCCCTGGAGCCTGGAGGCTGTGTTCTCAGACTTCCTTTCTGATGCTTTAGCTTCTTCCCCAGGGCCTAGCAGGGAGGGCTGTGGCCATCACACAGCCAGTGACTCCATCAGGCACTTCAGTGCTAGGAGACACCAATACTAAGTGTTTTTACTTCTCCTGTTTATCGGTATGTTCCATAGTTTTTGGTTCTAACTTCTCTCTTTTTTTTTTTTTTTTTCCAAGGAAAGGGAAGGTAAATGTCCATTCATTCGCTTTTTTCTTTCAGCCCCACGGGCCTGCTCACCAGCCAGCCACACGGTGCCAGCCACTTGCCTGGGCCTTGCCCAAGCTTCTCACGTGACTGCTGCTTTCCCTCTCCAGCCTCTGGGCAGTGTCCTGCCAAGATGGAGACTGGTGCCCTTGCCTCAACACTCATCTTTTTCTTCTGCACGATCCCAAGTTATCTAGTTAGAAATCTGCTCTGGTATTATTTTAAGGAGACTTACTAAACATATCAACTTAGAATTTATTGATTCTGCCCACCCTTTTTCCCATTTAAAAAAAGTGTCTGGGTGCAGTGGCTCACACCTGTAATCCCAGCACTTTGGAAGGACAAGGCAGGCAGATGACCTGAGCCCAGGAGTTCAAGACCAGACTGGGCTACATGGCAAAACCCGGTCTCTACAAAAAATACAAAAAAATTAGCCAGGCTGGTGGGGCACACCTGTAGTTTCAGCTACTCAGAAGGCTGAGGTAGAAAGGTAACCTGAGACCAAGAGGTCAAGGCTACAGTGAGCTATGATCGCACCACTGCACTCCAGCCTGGGCAACAGATTAGAGATCCTATCTTTTAAAAACAAAAAAAAGCCGGGCGCGGTGGCTCAAGCCTGTAATCCCAGCACTTTGGGAGGCCGAGGCGGGTGGATCACGAGGTCAAGAGATCGAGACCATCCTGGTCAACATGGTGAAACCCCGTCTCTACTAAAAAACTACAAAAAAATTAGCTGGGCATGGTGGCGCGTGCCTGTAATCCCAGCGACTCAGGAGGCTGAGGCAGGAGAATTGCCTGAACCTAGGAGACAGATGTTGCGGTGAGCCAAGATTGCGCCATTGCACTCCAGCCTGGGTAACAAGAGCGAGACTCCGTCTCAAAAAAAAAAAAAAATAGGGTGACATTTGTACATTAGCGGTTTCTCAGGTGATCATTGAAAGAATGTTGAAGGAGTTTTGCCTATTTTCTGGCTTTTATTAGCCCTAATTACTCCATGATTATCTTCAACAATTCCTAGAAGTCATTGTGTTTCTGAGTTTTTCAGCTGTTACAGCTTTGCCTGTTGTAAATGGAGACCTGTCTGCAGCCCCTCTACCTGCTCGCTTCTCGTGGGTTTGCCTTCCCTTACTGCCTTACCCTGTGCCTTCTTGTTCTGCTTTCCACAGGGACTAGGTGCTGCTTTCCTGTCGCATTAACACTGCGGGATAGTACCTATCCCGAAGAGCAGGCTGCCCTTCCTGCCATCTCCCTTACTCGGAGGATGACTTACTCATCCTTTTTCTTTTATTTATTTATTTTTTTAATTTTTATTTTTTAAAAAACAAAGACTTGCTCCGTTGCCCAGGCTGGAGTGCAGTGGTGCAATCACAGTCCACTGTAACCCCAACTCCTGAGTTCAAGCGATCCTTCCACCTCAGCCTCCCGAGTAGCTAGGACTACAGGCAGATGCCACCACACCAGCTAATTTGTTAATTTTTTTGCAGAGATGGGGGCTCACTGTGTCGCCCAGGTTGGTCTTGACCTCCTGGCCTCAATCGATCCTCCCTCTCCCTCAGCCTCCCAAAATGCTGAGATTACCGGCACAAGCCACCATGTCTGGCCTTACCCATGCTTTTTCTGAAGCTTGTCACCTGAGGAACTTGTCTCCCCCAGGTTTCAGTTCAGCTTTGCCATTTCTATTCTCCTGTGTCTCTGAGGATAGGCGGGTTCAAAGCTCATCTGTCCCCACCTCTCCTGCAGTGAGCCCCACGGCAGCTCCTACCCAGCCTTCACAGGAAGAACAGCAGTGAGCCCCCCGCCAGCAGTGTGCCTGGCCTTTCCTCGGGTCCAGAATCTGACAGCACTCACACCTCTGACTTCTGCACTTGGGCTTCTAGCCAGTGTCCAGGCACAGGACAAGCAGGACTGATGAGCGTTTCTGTGTCCTCTTCTGGTGTAGGTCAATAAGCATGCATTTTCTGGAGGGAGAGACACCATCGAGGAGCACAGGCAGTTTGGAGGCAACTGTGATGTGGACGTGTCTTTTATGTACCTGACCTTCTTCCTCGAGGATGACGACAGGCTCGAACAGATCAGGAAGGTGAGCAGGGGCCCGAGGACCCACGGCCCGCCTCCAGCCACCCGCTCCTGCCCATGGAGCCTGGAAGGCTCCAGCAGCTGGGCGTAAAGCATTGGTTGGAGGTGCTCAACTGAAACAAGGTGCAAACAGTAGAGTCGCCCTCATGTTTTTTAGACAATATGCTCAGAAACCTAGTGAACAAATCACGAAAGAGCAGATATAATTACTATTCATTTAGTAGCCACACAAAACAGACTTGCCTTACTAGTCATCAGAGAAATATCAGTTAACGTGATCAAAGCTGAGACAGTTCAGTACAGAATTGGTAGGGGCTCTTGTGTTGCCACTGGCTGTTTTTAATGATTGTGAAGCAGATGCTCCAAGCCCACTCGTGAGCAGAGTGTTTTATCAGCACAGCCTCAGCGAGCAGTTTGATACTGGGTACAGAGAGCCCAAAAATGTTCAGAGCTTTGCCTCAGGTTTTCCCATTCTTGAATTTTTTCCAAGGAAATAATCCTAAATTAAAAAAAGTTGGCCAGGTGCAGTGGCTCACACCTGTAATCCCAGCACTTTGGGAGGCTGAGGCAGGTGGATCACCTGAGGATGGGAGTTCAAGACCAGCCTGGCCAACATGGTGAAACCCCGCCTCTACCAAAAAAATACAATATTAGCTGGGCATGGTGGTGCGTATCTGTAGTCCCAGCTACCCAGGAGGCTGAGGCAGGAGAATCACTGGAACTCAGGAGGTGGAGGTTGCAGTGAGCCGAGATTGTGCCACTGCACTCCAGCCTAGGTGACAGAATGAGACTCCGTCTAAAAAAAGAAAAAAAGAAAAAAGTTTTCTCCACCCGTGATGTTGAAAATGATCATAGCAAAAAGTTCCACACAGACTTGATAAAACAGAGGAAGTGTTAAATTAGAATTGTTACAGGGTGGATTATTGTGCAGGCATGAACTATTTAAAAGAGTGTTCGTATGCAGGGCATGATGGCACACATCTGTAGTCCCTCTACTTGGAAAGCTGAGACAGGAGAATCCCTTGAGCTCAGGAGTTCAAATGCAGCCTGGGCAACATAGCAAGACCCTCATTTCTTTAAAAAAAAAAAAAAAGTTTTAGTGACACAGGAAAATATGCCTATGACAGTGAAAAAAGGATACCAAATGAAAAACTCAGGGAGAGGTTAACTATGTTTAAATGAAACACACAGGGAAAGAAATGTAAAGAAAATTCACCAAAGTGGGCCCCACCTTTGGGCACTGGAATTTGTAGGTGATTTTTTCTTTACTTTGCTGCTGCTTTGTGATTTGGTTACTTTATTCAACTTGTTTAATCAGCATGCACTACAATCAGAAGAAGAAAAAATTAGCAAGATTTTACAGAAGCCATAAGGCTTCCAGGAACTGTTGTCATTTAGTGCTTGGGGGAACAGACCCTAGTGTCATTGGAGGTAGGGACTGCCCTCCCCATTGGCCCTTCCAGTGTGAGAGACCAAGTCATGGTTACCGTCAGAGCCAGGTTTCTAGCCGTTTTAGGAAAAGTGTAGCTGAAGGCATAGGGTATTGTTGTGGTAACGACAGATCTCACTTCTGAGTGCCACCCACGTGCCAGGCTCTGCATGGGTGGTGTGTGCTGGGGCAGGAAGGAGCCACTTAGGGCATGTGGAGCCATCTCTCACCATGGCCATCTCCCTCTGGGCAGGATTACACCAGCGGAGCCATGCTCACCGGTGAGCTTAAGAAGACGCTCATAGAGGTTCTCCAGCCTTTGATCGCAGAGCACCAGGCCCGGCGCAAGGAGGTCACAGACGAGATCGTGAAAGAGTTCATGACTCCCCGGAAGCTGTCCTTCGACTTTCAGTAGCACTCGTTTTACATATGCTTATGCAGAGAAGTGATTTCTCAATAATCCCAGCCCAGTCAAAGCACCGCCACCCCTAGGCTTCTGTCTCATGGTAATTACTGGGCCTGGTCTCTGTAAGCCTGTATGTTATCAATACTGTTTCTTCCTGTGAGTTCCATTATTTCTGTCTTGTATGGGCAAAGCATTGTGGGTAATTGGTGCAGGCTAACATTGCAGGGTCAGATAGAGAAGTCCAGCTGTGAGTCTCTCCCCAGAGCAGCCCCAAGGAGGGGAGCCTTCGACTGGAAGTCCATGGGTCACCCTGTTCCAGTCTGTAGGGGACTCCGAGTCTTCCAAGTATACTCTTAAAACCCACTCTATTTAAAAATATACATTCTGTGTATGCATATATGGAATTGAAATGTCATTATTGTAACCTAGAAAGTGCTTTGAAATGTTGATGTAGGGAGGTTTATTGAGCACAAGATGTATTTCAGCCCATGCCCCCAACAAAAGAAATTGATAAGAAAAAGCTTTGCTATACATTTGACTAAGAAATCACCCAGCTTTAAAGCTGCTTTTAACAATGAAGAGTGAAGAGTCGGGCAGTTTTGATTAAACTGAGACTCAGACCATGCATGTATTCCACTCCAGCAATCATGCTCGTTTTCTTTGGCAGACCAGTGCTTTCCTGCCAGATGACCCTAGACTGGCTGTCCTGCAGAGTCAGGGTAGCTTTTCCCCTGACCGTGTCCGATGCCAAGGACTCCTAGCCTCTGCAGATGCTTCATTTTGACCTTTGGCTGCAGCGGAAGTCAGCACAGAGCAGTGCCCTGGCTGTGTCCCTGGACGGGTGGACATAGCTAGGGAGAAAGTCACAGCAGCAACCCTCGAGGCCCTCGTGGGTGGCTGGGCAGGCCACATTTCATTGCACACCGTGTGCAGGCCTGGAAAAGCAAAGCCGAATCTCAGGGAAGCCCTTGGTTGATGTGTCTGGGTCTCCTCTGGAACACCCTGCCCTCCTGTCGCCTGCTAGAGTGAATAAACTTCCTTGGCTCCCACTCTTGCTGTGCTCTGTCTGGGAGGTCTGGGGAGGGAGCAGAGGCCCCTCCATGGATGGCTTTGAGTCTGCTGGAGTCAAGATATGGGGATGAAAACGCTCAGTTCCGGGAACCCCACAGTGCTGTGTCACAGGCTCCCAGGAATGGACTTGTGCTGGGAGAGCTCTTAGCAGCATCCCAGTGCAGGCTCCCTCTCAACCGCGTTTCACCTTTCTGGCAGCTGGCGGAGAACACAAGCAGAGGTTGTCCTTGCTTTTCAGAGGAGAGGCCGGTGTGGGCTGCGTGGTGGTGCTGTGGAGTGACAAGGAGCATAGGCTAGGAGCCAGGCTGGGCCCCGTTCACGTGAGGCCCATGGCAGAGGCTGAGCTGCAGGGGGCCCTGGGCTCATTCTACTGCCCGTCCTCATTTTGCAAGTGGGGAAACTGAGACTTAGGAAAAGGGAACATGACTTGTGCAAGCCCATAGAGTGACTCTGACACAGTGCCTCTGTCCTGACTCTTGGTGCTTCTGTCTCCACATACATACAGAGGGACTGATTTACAAATGAGGGAACTAAGGTTCCCACCCTGGGAGGCTAGAGGCCTGGTTTGGAGTCCCACTCACGTACCCATGTGCAGCATGACCTCACCTAGGCCTCCTCTCCCAGCTTCGACTCCTGCTGGGCTGGGCCCCCATCCTCCCTCCCAGGCCCAGCCCCTGCTCACCTACCTGGCTGGCTATGACCAGTGAGGGTGAGCCACCCACAGAGACCACGTAGCTCAGTAGCCTGTTGCCCTGGGCAACTAATATGACTTCTTGTAGCTCTGCTGCACCTTTGATGCAGGTGCAATGAGGGGTGACAAGTGAAATCAATGACAGCTGCTACTGTCATTGTCCACCTAGCCAGAGCATCTATGGGCAGGGCCCGGGTGGGGCCCTGGACCCAGAGAGGAGTGAGCCAACAAAGATAGGCTTCTCCCCTCACCAGCTGTGTGTGACTCTGGCCAGGTGACTTAACCTCCCAGGACCTCCATCTCCTCCCCTGTGAAAAGCAGTGATGCCTCCTGTTTAGGGTCTTAGGAGGGGTGCCCTGGGTCCAATACTCAGTGCCCAAGGCCACTGCTGGTCAGGGCACAGGAGAGCCACACGTCTCCCACACCTCTCCCATTTTGCTAAAAACTAGTGGTTTGTAAGAGAAATGTTCCCTGAAGGACATGGGCACGTCAGGATCACAATGGGCAGGTTGCAGTGGCCCCGTGGGTGTTTGGGGCTGAGGCGTGAGGCCGGGTGCCAGCACCAGGTGGTGCCATACGCTCTGCCAGAGGAGCACTCCTGCTTCAGCTGGTAATGTCCCCTTGTCAGACAGATAGGCCGGCCCAGCTCAGCCTCGCTGCCCTGTGGCCCCAAGCCTCGGGGGAGACCAGCGAGGCTGCCTGAAAGGAGATGGTGCCTGAAGAGCACACAAAACGGCACTGGCTGGGGAAGCAGGGTCCAGGGCGGAGGGTGGCTGGGCACACGTGGCAGCTGCGGAACAGCTCGCCGCTCCGGGACAGCGCTCTCGGTGAGCAACAGGCCTGCCTCTGTTCCCCAGCGCCCACCTGCAGCACCCACAGATGCGCCCTCCCCAGGGTCACACTGGCTGGGCCTTAAGGCCCAGGACTCTCTGGTCATTACCATAGAGGTTGTAGAGACAATGAGGACAGGGGCCCTTCCTGCAAACCGCCTCCCCAGCGACAGGCAGAGCCAGCTGCTCAGTGACACAGGCTCAGGGAGAGCCAAAGGCCCCCACCTCCCAGAGTGCAGCCACCACCAGAGCCGGGCCAGGAGTGCTGCCAGGAACCCTCCTGCCAAGGCCGACCAGGTGGGGTCTTCTCGACAAAAATGGTCCCGAGGTCAGTGGAAACCTGTTAGTGGCTGCCCTTTCCCAGCTTTTGGCCAGAGCATCTCAGCCTCTGTAACTCCTAAGCTGGACTCACTTCCAGGAATCTACTGCAGGACTTCATTCATTCACTCACTCACTCATTTGTCCCACACCCCCTGAGCACCCACTGTGCACCAACCCTGGAGCTGAATTGAGTCCTTGCACAGCTCGCAAGTTCTTGTGGCAGGGGAGAGGCAGGCGAATGACCACACACCCAACCAGGGCCCCCAGGGAGTAGAGCAGGAGGTGCCTGGGAGCAGCGCAGTGGTCAGACAGCGCTCTCGGTGAGGAGAGCGGTGAGGAGCACCTCCTCCTTCCTGGAGGAGGTGGTGCCTGGAGTGTGGAGCCAACCAGGCAGAGCAGGGGAGGGTGTTCCTGGCAGAGGGCACAGGGCATAAGGTCAGGTACCCACAGCATCACATGTACAGGGACTGGCATAATGGGAGCAGACCCAGGACAGGGGTCTACCCCTTATTCCGGGAGCAGACAAGTTTCATTCGGCAGAACACAGGACATCGTTCAGCCCACAGACACAGTCAAGGTCAGTGACCATGAGTGAATATAGTCAATGCAGGTGGCCTCTGGCCCTGCCAGTCCTAACCCCTGATAGCCCCCATCATTGGAAGCCACGTGGTGCCAGGAGTGGGGTGCTGGAGCCTCAGAAGCTCAAGTCCGCCCACCCCTCACTGATGCGTGAGTACAGGCAAGGCCCGCTCCCTCTCAGAGCTGTCTGCTTAGCTGGCATCTGTAAGTGAGCTATGCAAGGTGCCTACGGACAGCCCCTCTGGAGGGGCGGCTCACAGGCAGGGCAGGTGGGAGGGCCTGGCTGGAACCAGGTTCCACTCTGAAAGCGGGTAGGATTGGACTGGGGTGGTGAGGAGGGCAAGCGCCCTGCTGGACAGCCCGGTTAGGCAGGACTTGGCGCCACAGGCCAGGCCCCACCGCCCAGAAGGCCAAGAGGGTGGAGCCCGCCAGAGTGCCACACGGGGTCTCAGTGTGCCCATCGACACAGTGGGAGCACTGGCAGCTCGGGTGTGGAGGGCTTGTCCAACAGGAAGGGAGTGGGCAGGGCCATGGCCCCACACCTCCCAGGACAGGCAGGCAGGCCTCACAGAGTGCAAAGCTGCTGGGCGCAGGGAACGGTCAGCCACGGCCATGGAGCCACAGCCCTGAACATCCTCAGAAACATTTTATTGACAACAATTCCCAACAGTCTTCGGGGTCTTTAAGTGGCAGGTGCAGCATCCACAGGCAGAGTGAGGGCTCCTGAGGAACCTCACCCCAAATTCCCTAACCAGGCGAGGATGGCCACCCCAGGCACCTGCCAGGTGGGCATGGCAGCCCCAGCAGTGCCCCCCTGGAGTAGCCTGCTGCAGGGAACGAGCTGGGCCTGGAGCCCTCAGTCGTGGTGCCAGCCCAGCTCCTGCTCCCCACCCTGAGGCCCCCAGCCTGTGGGAAGCCCCTGCCTACAAGGGATGGTTCATGAAGACACAGGAATAGCAGTGTGGGCGAGGGTCTGGGAACAGGGCAGAGGATGGCTGAGCGCACACCTGACTCCCTGGAGGGGTGCTCCAAAGATATGGGAGACGGGGGCAATGGGGAAGCTGGAATGAACAACTGACTCCATGAGACACACGCCCTCATCAAAGGGGCCCACTCCTCCCCAGCTCCTGCCACCGCAGGCCAACCCTGGGCTGATGGCTGGGGGGCCCCTTGACCTGAGGTCAGTAGCTGGGCAGGCCACGCTCAGGCCTCGGCCAACGCACTACAGGGAGGCTCCCCGTTGTCCTGGGCAATGGCCTTGTGGGGTCCTGACCCCAGCCACGCGCCCTCTGGCCTCCTCCAGCCACTATGACCTCTGGCAGCTGCCAGAAGGTGGGCCTCTGGGCGTGGGGACCAGCTATGTGAGCAGACCTCGGGTGAGCCTCAGCACCGCTTCATAGGCGACAAAGACCACCATGTTGACGGGAAAGGCGCGGCCACAGTTGATCAGCAGCCCCTTGAAGAGGACCCGGGGCCCCTCCTCGCGCACGCTGGTCACCACGCAGTGCAGGAGGCCCCGGTAGCGCCGCTGGCCCTGCCCATCAGCCTGCAGTCTCGACTTGATCACATCCATGGGGGTGGCCACAGCCCAGGCCAGGACCCCTGCACAGCCCCCGGCCACCAGCACACCCAAGACATCTGCAGAGGGACCACAGTGCTTTGACTGGGAGCCCGATGGGGCGCCCAGGGCAGAGGCCCAGCCGCAGTGCACCCTGGACTCCCTCTACTGGCCCATCCTCATTTGCAAGTGGCTTAGGAGAGGGGAACGGGACTTGTCCCCAGCCACACATTGTGACACAGCAAGTCTGTCCTGACTCTTGGTGTTGGGGGGAACTGAGGAGCCCACCCTGGGAGGCAGCAGGCTGGGTTCAGGCCCCAACTCGGGTACTGGTGGACACCACGATCTCACCTTGGCCTCCTCATCCCGCCGGCTCCCCGCCCTGCCAGGTCCCAGCCCCTGCTCACCTGGGTGGCTGTGGCCAGCGGGGCTGAGGCACTCGCAGAGGACGGCGGTGGCAAAGGAGTGGCCGTCCCGCAAGAGCAGGGCCGAGCTGCCCTTGTAGAGGCCGCGCAGCCCCTCCTCACGGGCCACGGTGGCCAGGCAGT